TGGTACTCCATGGCATAGCTGCCATGGTGCAGAGCCATAGTCCCCCAGCACCACCTTCTGGAATCGGCCATTGAGATAGGAGTGGAACCTCTGCAAAGCAGTGCCTCCGACTCCCAATCCCGCTAGCCTATCCAGAAGGATACCATGGTCGATGGTATCAAAAGCTGCTGAGAGATCCAGAAGAACCAACAGGGATGCACTCCCCCTGTCCTTCTCCCTGCACAGGTCATTGTACAGGGCGACCAAGGCAGATTCAGTACCGGGTCTGACGCCAGACTGAAATGGGTCCAGATAATCAGTTTCATCCAAGAGTGCTTGGAGTTGTCCCACCACCACCCGCTCCAACACCTTGCCCAAAAACGGGATGTTGGCCACTGGTCTATAATTAGTGGCCATCTCTGGACCCTAATAGTGTAGATTGGATAGCCTATTGCTGCTATTGTATTTTATGACAACAATAGCCATAAGCCAAGTCCACCTCTCCCCCTCCCCAAAGCCCCAGAGAGCAGCCACACAAAAAACAATGGAATATATTGAATTGACAGCATTGGGCTGTATCCAGTTATTGCCTGAATATACACATTCAGTTCAGTGGGTATATTTTATGTGGAATTAACACTGGATCAAACCCAGTTGACCCATTCACATATAACAGTGGCAGATTGTGGATTAATTAACCTACATTTTGCTGGCATGTGTGCTCTTCCCAGTTGGCTTGACTGTGGTTCATTTTGTGCTGTGCAAGCTTAAAAATGTACTGTTAACCCTAAGAATTAATCATTGGTCAGTTAGTTCAGTTATTTATATTACCAAACAGTGGTACCTTTATTAATTTGTTTTAAAGAAACAGAATTTTGATGGAAGTTTCAAGTAAGAGTTTAATACAATTTTAGTATATAACAGTGCTAAATAATAGAATAGCGAGCTGTGTTCTCTTACCCTCCCCAAGCACAGTGAATTTATTTATTTATTTAATAGACCACGCCTATAGTCCTGTACGGGCTCTCTGGGCCATGTACAGAAAAAGCTGTGTCCACTGTCATGTAAGGGTCTCCCTCCTTTGTATATTGTGTGTACAAATGGGGAAGACACTGAGCCTGAGTGTATATAGCTGTATAATGCAATAGGTAAGTGATTTTTCTCGCACAATTTTAAATTACTCTAACAAGAGTATGAAAAGCAGTAGGCGACTTGGTACCCTCCATATTTTGGAATACAACTCCTTTAGCACCAGTCAGCATACCTACAACTCCCAAGATTAGGGGAGCTGTAGTCCAAAATATTTGGAAGGTACCAAGTTGCCTTTCTGTGGTGTACATATATGAATGATATATTAAAATGCCTGTGAATCTGATGGCTCTGTCAGGTTTTTTTGGGTTGTTTGTAGGCTAATGAGAATGCATACATTTTTGGCATTATGGTTTTGTAAAAGTGAATTGTAGCAGTATTCTTGTGGTCGGGAAAAAAAAAAGTATGTTGAAAGCAGTCCTAAAATACAACCCTAAAATAAAATAAAGGGTTATTTGACTTGTCATGTTTGAGTGGTTTTATGTAAATCCCTATATTTTAAATGTCTGTGTTATATGCACAATGTCTTGACCCCCAAGCGAAATACAGCATCTTGGTCAGTCATGTGTTGTGGCCCATCCATTGCTGGGCAAGCACTGCAGCACATGGAGACATTCAGTCACAAGCACATGCATATAAGCACACAAAGCAGAGGCTTCACTAGGTTATTTAAATACATATTAGGCTTGTATTTGTATTGTATTAGGCTCATACCAGATGAGACCCCTGAGTCTGATACAGTTTAGTCAGTATATTGAATTGGTTGTAATACCAAATAGAAGTGACAGTCCAGTCATTTTTGTTGTTAAGGTCTGCTCAGCTATGTGTATTGCTGAGGCAGGCAACTAAAACTTCTCAGGCAACTAAACTTCATCCTGGGCAATTGTGAGGATAAAATGTGACCCGATGTGCTATTCAGTGCTTATTGTTAAAGCAGGTATAAATTAAATATCCTTAACAATGATGTGGAAGTGCAAGAAATTGTGTTTGTATGTGCATTGCATCATAGAGGAAATAATGCAATTCCTTGGCTTATAACTGAGCAAATGAACCAGAACATGTGATGCAAAAACTGTAATAAATTGACTATATTTCTTGAGGCTTCTTCATCTAGTTGTAATAAATAATTAAATAAAATCTTGCACAATCTGCTGAAATAACTTCTGGCTTTGGCTTCTATTAGTTCTCTGTATTGTCTTTACTGAAGCTGCAGGATTGACTTAAGTGCAGTGTTTTATATGGGTCAGTTAAAAGCATATGGATCAATTAAAAGCATACTGAAGAATAAGTGTACAAGGAATTGCCCAACCACCAGTAAATTCTGTGATTTTCTGATGCAACATGGGTGTTAGTCCTCTCATGTCTGCTCAGAATAGAGACTATGAACTTGGAAGGCATGGCTGGATAAAGAGAAAAAATGAGAGAAAAAATGAGTCACACAAAAACCCTAATCAAATAAATTCATTGGGTAAATGGTTTGCAACAAGATTTAGTGCCTTTGCGCTAATCTTTTTAGCAGCTGCCACAAAATTCCTTGATTGGTTTTATATCTAAACTGGCATTGTGTAGCCAAAGTTCCATCAGGCATTGCTCCCAACAATGCTGCAGGGAATCTTTTCCTATAATAAACATACAAATTCATCGAAGAAAAAATAGTGTATAATGTCTTCTATTTATAGAACCAGAGTCACACATGTTCAGAGAAGTTGAACTTTGGAGATATTTGCCTACCTCCCATCCAAATATGAAAAAGGCAATGGCTTGGTTCAGAGGTCACAACTCATGATAAATCATGGGTTGTTTAGGAATGACTGAATATACTGGCTCCTAAACGGTTACCTTCATCCAGTATGCATAATGACACAATGGCACTCTGTCCCTGGGTGGTTTGGCATGACATATAAATCTGCAATTGTGGGTTGTTGGGGACGAAATAACCATGTGTTCCAAGAGTTCACTGCACACTGGGGATATTCATGGGGCCAGCAACATAATGCATGTTCTGGATGTGCATGTTGTATTGGACAGCCCACCAGCAGAGCATCCCTGAGTTATTTAGCACAGTGGCATTCCTGCTCATTCAGAACCCATTATTTATTTACAATATGGGTTGTTGTGTCATCCTAACTGGGCCATAGTCTGGAAATGCTTCTTTCGATCAGAGCAAGCCAAGGAATTAAAATTATGAAATAAGTTCTGTAAAAATGGTACCACCATCTGAATGCTATTTGTGTGAATGGTTTCTGTATCTTGTGATGCAGAATCCTTTAGCACCCTGTGAGTATAATCAATCTCTAATTTTGATTTTAAGTTTAGTGAAAGGTAGACAAGGAGAGAGAAGGTCTTTTCAAGCAGGAAAAAGCCCAGCTACTCCTGTTCAGTTCTAACTAGAAAAGTTTAGCCAACTGCTGCTCAGGGTTAGTGCATTATAGATAGAAATAATAAATATGAAGATTGATGTAGTAAAATGAAATAAATCAGTAATTAATTACGTTAATATTTATAGTCTGTATCTTTTTGTTTTGGAATCCAATCCCTTTCCTATAGTTTAACTTGTTATATTAAGAAAGCCACCCTATAACATGTCCTCTTTACTTCATTACTTTGCTCTATTTTTAACAGCACAGTTTACCTGTGGATTCTATTGTAACAGGATGTGGTGAGGAACAATAGCACCCAAGAGCAACCTAAAAAGTGGCAGAATCTTAGCTGAAAATAGAAATGTGAGATAAAATGTAGTTCAGGCAGTATTTATAATCTGGGCTGCTGTGAGTGAGTTGTTTTTCTGGTTTACAGAAATGACAGAAGCAGTCATATATTTGTCTCAGATTTGTTCAGGTTGTTCCTTTCCTGTTTAAATTTGCTCTGCATTCATGATTATAAAATGGAAAGTATGGCTGGATTTGGACACAGCCACATTCTCACATAATACCAGCTCATGATTTACTTAACCTGTAGTTTGCTGGATATCTGACAGATTATTTATTATTCATTTTTAGACTTCTTATCTGCCAAATTAGCTCAAAGGCTCTCTAAGCAGATTACAATCCATAAAACATATATAATAACAATAAAAACTGATTAAAATACAATATATGAAAAACAATAAAACAAAACAGTGCACATCTGAGAGCAGATCAATTTAGAACTCTTCATATTAATAATGGCTTATTAATGAAATCAGTTATTAAAATACTTATAAAACTGCTTTCACCTGGCACCGAAAAGATTGTAGTGAAGGTACCAGGTAAACTGTTTTTGGGAGGCTGTTCCACAAGTGGGGCACAACTACTGAGAAGGCTGCTCTTCTATTAGCCATCCTCCTCACCTCCTTGGAGGGTGGCTCTTTCAGAAGGGCCTCCGAAACAGATCTTATGGGCTGGATAGGTATGTGTGGGAGCACGCGGTCCTTCAGGTACCTGGTCCCAAGCTGTTTAAGACTTTATATCTTAAAACAAACACCTTCAATTGGGCCCAGAGCTCCACTGCTAACCGATGAAGATGGTAAAGTATTGGTGTTACATGGGAGCACAGTTCTGCTTGTAACAGCAGCCACGCCACTCTGTTCTCCACTGGTTGAAGTTTCTAGACCATCTTCAAGGGCAGACCCATAAAATAGTCCAGTTGAGAGGTTACCAGAGCATGGGTGAGTGTGGCTAGGCTCTGTCTGTCCAGGTAGGGCTGTAGTTGGTAAATAAATTACAGCTGAATGAAGGTGTTCCTGGCCACTGAGTCTACCCAAGACCCAAGTGATGAGTTTGGGTCCAGGAGCACCCCCAAGCTACAAACCCTGTCC